TCATATATTCTAGTCAACCAAAATAGAGTATCGTTAAGTTCAAAATCGAACATCGAAAAATCAAAGTTAGTAGGATCAAAAATGACATTTTAAATTTAATCACCCATATACTTGTGTCTTATTCGCATGAAAAAATCTGTTGTAATATAAATTTCAAAATAATTTATCTTTCATTTAGTTATTTATTCTAATATAAAATAAGATTTGTTCAGATAAACATTAATTTTACTTTATCTTTATTCTAACTTATTAAATAGTTTTATATTTTATTAATAATTTTAAAGTTAAGTTGAAATCTTCAAATAAATTATTAATTAATAGGTAAATAATAATACTTCATTACACAGGAAAAAAAGTCTGACTCCGTTTACACCTTAAATTCAGCCCATGTATTTCACATAAGTCTGTCCTTGTTTAACGGGGCTGACTCCGTTTACACCTTAAATTCAGCCTCAAAAAGAGGCTGAAAGTAAAACTTTTTTTAGTGTGTAATTGACGTATTCTTATAAATTTGTTCTAGTGTTTTAAACTGAGAACATAATATCCCAGTAAAAAAAACTAATTCAAATGAATTGAAACGAATTAACATTTTTGGTAGGCTCCAATTCGTATTTGTCACAATGCGGGATTCACGAAAGCTCTTTGTGAATTCTTTTTAATTCATTTCAATTAGTTTTCGTTTACTGGGATGTGAGCTATTTTGACTAAAAAATTTAATATTTTGTAACATTTTAATTTCAGATAGTCAGAGTTCATATCATGCAATGTGGATTTGGATGGTTATTAAAAATATACCTTATTCTTCTAAATTTTGAAGCATATAAATGTAGTAAGTATGTAAACGTTGTTAAGAACGGAACTACACGGAGAAAACTGGATATTCAAAAGTACACTGAAAAAAATGATAATGTCAATTTTGACATACTAGTATGGTCAGGACCCCAGTAAAAAAAGAAGTATTGAGTGGAGCGTTTAGGAATTGAGTGAAGCTCTGAGCCAATATGGATTCGAGTAAAAACCGTATTCGGACGTCTGACTCAACCCAAGTAGAAATGTCCGGAGTTAGGACGGAGTTAAACACCGGCATGGTACTGACACAGTACTGACCGTCGGTACTGACTTTCAGAACCCGATCAGTACTGGGAGTATACTGACTCCAAAACCGAATCAGTAATACGTCGGAGTTAAAAAAGTATTAAAATCAGTACTGACAGAAAACTGGCATAACACCAAATCAGTACTGCGAAGGAGTTAAAGAACAAACAAAATTTGTTATAACGGCATTAAACCGGCCACTATTAATAACAACATCGTTTCATTTATTAACTATTAAAATATTTTCCAAGATTTTTAAAAACATTATTCATCAACAATAACATCAAACACTTAATTAATATATTATGAATTATTAATTAATAGGTATATCATAATAATAATAAATTATTATTTATTAATTATTTTTACTATTATGTATCATTAATAATAACATTTTTTTTATTTTTAAAAATGTATAAATATATATATTTTATTATTATTTTAATAAATAATTAAATTAATAATTTTTATCATATTTTTATGCTATACCTATTAATTAATATATAACGTCTTGTTAAAATGTATTTAAATATATAAAACATATGGGTGATTCTCCTGAAAGGGACCACTTCACGTGTCTCTAACATGAGGTTCATTATTTAAATTAATTTTTCATTAATATTTTATCAAGTTTAAATTTTTTGAAAAATTTATTTATAATCTACGAAGATTTATCTATCTTTATATAATCTTCTATTGCTTATATTTAAATTTCTTCCTATTTAAAAAACATATTTAATTTTGTCATCGAATTTTGGTTAAACAGAATGTATATTTTATAATTATATTTTAACGTATTTAAACAATTTCAACATATTTATGATATATATAAAATTAAAGTTCAGAATATAAGGATTATTTTTTACTTAAATTTGTTTAAAATAAGGTAAAAAAAGTTATTTAAATTATTAATTAAAATAGTATTATCAATGAGAGTAAAAATTAAATTCATCTCCGAAGCCTCATTTTCTATATAATAACATCATATTTTTTAACGTTTTAAAAATAATATGTAATCGATGTAAAAATATTTGATGATTAAAACTAAAAACATTGTTTAAAAGATTGTAATATTTTTAAAATTAGAAAAAATGAGAATTTTTTCATTAAATTATCAATTCATCTCCGAAGCCTTTTTTATATTTGATAGGCGTTTTCTTTTGTTTTTAATTTTTTAATCATTGTTTTGAAATATTTAACCCTCAAATTAAATTATTAATTTAATAAAAATAAAATATACAAGCAAAAAGTGCAATAAATTAAAACATAACAATTTATTATTTAAAAAAAATATTCCTACCGAGTTTTTTTTACAAAATAATTAATTTAAAAGTTATAATTAATTATACTTAACCTCTAGAACACATGATAGTAAAATGTTCCTGGAGGTCTTATTTCTGAAAATTAATTTTGCGCAACTTATATTTTTATCTTTAAACATTTTCTAAACTTATTTATGAAAGAAAAGTAACAAAAAAAGAATAATTTGATTTTTTGGAAATTCAACCAAAAAAGGGTCCCTTTCAGGAGAATCACCCATATATTTATAATAATTTCTCTTTAAATAAATATAATATACAGTGAATTCATTATTATAGCACTGTATATATCCTTCCCATAATTCAAAATGAAGTTTAAGTAAAATCACTTCTAAGCTTGCGTGGCTGTGCGGTTAGTGTATTCGTCTTGCGTCCTCAAGGTGTAGGGTTCGATCCCCCGTGCGTGCGATATTTTTCCGTCTTAGTTCTAAGTGTTTAGTGTATAATTCTCAACAGTGTTACATAAAATATAAATTTAAATAATTATAAACAATAATAATAATAATAAATTAGAAATTAATTAAAATAAATAAGATTGTATAAGTTAATAAAAAAAAGGAAAATTTTTTTAAAAACTTATTTCAATAAAAGTAATTTTGCTAATTATTTACATTTTTATTGTTACTTATAAAAGTTTATTTACTACAGAAATATTAATAATAATTATTAGTATTCAATAAATTACTCCCTTTTCTTTAATAATCAAATAACAAATTAATATAAGCTTCTAAAGGTAAATTTTGTTTTAGAGAACGCGTTACAGAATTTTCCAAATTTTTTAAATTTTACCTGCGAATCAGTTATTAGGCGGTGTTCTGCCAGTGATATTTTAATACTGTCTTAGTACTGATTGCCGGTAAAAAATCAGTACTGGACAGCGTTACCAGCCAGGGATTTCCCAGTACTGATTTAGTACTGGAGTCAGTACTGCTATACTGGCAGTCAGTACTGGGTCCGTACTATGCCAGTATTACATTTCTACTTGGGAATCTGTTTTTCATCCGCCGAATACGGTCTTATTTTAGCATTAAAATTAAAATCACAAGACCAGAGTACACATTATAAATTGAAAGCACAATTGTCCTGGAATGTAAAAATGCCGATTTCGATAAGAAGCAGTGAATATTTGTGGACGTCCACATGAAAAGGGCCCATTTTGGCACTACTGGAGTTATCTATATGGGCGTAATCCTGGCAAAATTTGGAGAATTTTGAGTGGTCTTAGAACTTTTTTGGTTGAAAATTCGCTGAGTTACGGAATTTCAAAGTTTAGAACGCCAAAAACGTCATTTCGAGAAAAACGGAATTAAAGATTGCGATACCAACTAATTGTTGTATCTCTGGTTCTTCTTGGAAGTTATTCAGATAAGAATTGTTTCTAGTTCAGGGCACCTTGAAGATAAAAAACCAACAGGTTTTAAATTTTTAGAACCACCCCCTCCCCTTAATTAATTAATTTAAAAACCGACAATATGGGCCCTTTTCTAAAAAGGACAGTTTTTCTATTAAAGAACCATTTTTTTACAGGATTAATGATTAGGTACAATTTTATTGTGTCATTTGAAGAAAAAGAATAGATATTAAACTTATTTAAAAATTTTTGACAGTCTCTATTATGAAAAAATTGACGAAATATACAAATTTTCATTTCGATAATTACGAAAAAAAGACTCTAACATCAATATCTCTGGTTCTTCTGAGAAGTTATTTAGATAAGAATTGTTTACAGTCCAGGACACCTTAGAGATGAAAAATCAAGAGGTTTTAAATTTTTCTATATCTCCATTTTTAAAATACGGATTACTTTTGCAAATGACCGACAAAATGGGCCCTTTTCATTTTTCTAAAGAACCAATGAAATCAAACAGTTAAATTATCGATAAATTAATGAAAACCGCATGATTCGACTTGTCAAAACATGTAGATTGATAATAAAAAATAAAAAAAAAATTAAGAATTTGCTCAAAAATTACTAAATTGCGATTATCTCGAAAACTAGAACCGACAATATGGGCCCTTTTCATGTGGACGTCCACATTTGTTAAAAATTGGTAAAAGCAAAGTTTGATAAGCGCGACTGAATTTACCATGTGAATAAATGAAGTGGTATAAGTTTAAACCCACATAGCACAGCTTCTCAAGGTAAGGTTACTGGAAGGACATCTGTAGGGCTTGTAAGGTTACCAAGTAAGAGTGTGGTAAACATGATGTCGTCTAAAAAGTTCCGCCTTATAGTAAGCTTACACAGTAAGGCTATGGTAAGCTTACACATTAAGGTCGTAGTTAGCTTACACGGCAAGGTCGTGGTAAGCTCACACCTAAGGTCGTAGTAAACTTACACGTAAGATCGAGGTAAGCTTACACGTAAGATCGAGGTAAGCTTACACGTAAGAACGTGGTAAACTTACATGTAAGATCGTGGTAAGATTGCACGATACGATTTCTATTAGTCTAACGAATTTAAATTATATTATAATTTTAATTAAAAACTAATTCTAACAGTAACTATAAATTTTAGTAATACTACAGGCAAATTAAAAAAGGTAATATATTTAAGGTGAATTTTTACGATCGGAAAACATGTAATAGTTTTATTTGCAAATATTTTATTGCAAAAAAAATTTATATTTCGTGTACAATGGTAAAGAATAATAATAAGAATTCATCTTAGATTGGATGTCCACTTTTTGAACAGACCTGCAACAAACAATGACAAATAAATTACATATATCCGTAATTTGCTTATAGAAATTATGAAAAAATTACAATAGATAAATAAAATAACATTTCAATTGGAAAATTTTTGTTTTTAGACTGATATATAATACACTCCAAAGTCTGTTTAGCGGACTATCCGTGGGGAGTCGTCCGTTAAAGCGAACAATACTTTAACATTACCTTTAACGAATCAAAACATAGAAAACCGGCGTTGGAGTGTATTGCATACTACATGTGTACTTGGAACATTTAAATTAAATTAATTAATTAGTTAAAGAAAGACAAAATATAAGATTATTAAAGTTAATATTATAATTAATTTAATGTATATAATAAATATCTAATTAATTATAAAAGAAACATTTTTTTAACAGAATTGAAAAAAGTAACAAGTTCATAAATTATAATCCATATAAATTATGCTTTATACTTAAATACTTACAATGCTAAAAATATATTGCTAATTATATGTATAGTAAGTATTTGTTTATAGAAATTTAATATTTTCGCTCACCTGTAGTGGACGTAACTCATAGCCCCCTTTTCCTGGGAACTTGTTTACGAGCATTAGAAAGATATTCATACCCCTTTTTAAGGAAATTTTTTATGTAAAAATAATCATTTTCATAATTCCATTACATTTGGTACAGAAGCCCTAAAAATAGTAAGAAATTTTAGTAAGAAAAAATTATTAATAATTATTTTAATATTATTATTTTAATTATTTTTCTAATTATTTAGAATTTTTTTAGGCAGAATTTTTTTTTTATATAACATATTCCTATATAGGGGAAAATTGTATCAACCATTTTAAAAATTTTATAAATTAGAAGAACACAAAGCTTCTTTCCACAAGAAAGCAAAAAATTATTAAAAAAGTTAATTGGCTTACTCTTGTCTGCGACTCCTGAGAGTGCAATTTGATAGCCAATTGCTAAGAAAACCATCAATGGACTTGTTTGATTCATTCTTGCACTTTAATAAGTCCAGAGCAGCTTCTGTGTGAACAAAAATAATGAATAAACCTATATTTTTATGCATATACGTGGTTAACACATTTTTTTAAATTAAACACTTAATTAATAATACTATTTGAACGTTAAATCAGGGTTGCCACAGGTCAGGGAATTCAGTGAAAAGTCAGAGATTTTTATTAAAAGTACTGGAAAAAATTAAAATTTTAGAATTCATAAGAAAATTCTGAATTTTTGGTATCTTTTTTGTTTGCCTCATAAACTATAAAACTACCACGAATTCTAACACAAAACGTTTAAAATTTTTTTTCTATTTCTGACAGGAATACATTTTTCATACATTTTTTTTTTTTCATACATTTCATACATTTTTTCATTATTTCAAAAGTTTATTATAATTCACAACAAGAATTAATTTATTTTCAAAAGTAATAAAATTCTTGACAAAATTCAATTATTTTTAATAATTTTAACGAATATCTCGTTAAGAATTCAATTATCTTTATAAATAGCAAAAATTAAGATTAAGAATTAAGACTAAGAATTAAGAAAATTTAAGAAATAAATAATTTTCATTGCAGAATTTCAAATATTTTTAATACAATTTTAAATAAATTCCTCGAAAATTGCAATTATTCTTAAAAATTGTATCAAAACTCGACGAAAGAATTCAATTTTAAGAAATATTTAATTATTCAATAAAATAATAAAATTTGTCGCAATAATTTAATTATTTTCATAACTAACTTTTTAATTTGTCGCAAAAAATAAATTATTTTTAATAAGTTTTAAGTAACTCTGCAAAAGAATTCAATTATTTTGATAAACAACAAAATTCTTCCTATAAAATCAATTATTTAAGGAATTTTAATAAAATTCTTTTCCAAAATTCAATTAGTTTTGATAAATTTTAAAATTCGTGGCAATAATTTTTTTTTTTGTAAATAATAAAATACTTTGTAGAAATTAAATTATTTTCAAAAGTTTTTAAATATTCTCTTCAAGAATTAAATTATCTTTATAAATAGATAGCGAAATTCTTCTCAAGAATTAAATTATTGTCAAAAATTTTAATAACATTCTTGACAAAATTTCAGTTATTTAAACAAAATTTAATAAAATTTTTCGCATGAATTCAATTGAATAGTGAATTTCGAAAAGGTCTCAACTCGGATTTTTTTTTCAAATTTTACTTAATTTGTATTTTTTGCATTATTACATATTCATTGCCGTTTTCTTAAAAGAAAAAATTCATCTGAGGTACTTTTAGATTAGAAAAATGTTTTAAAGTGTCTTTTTTTTACTTTTAAACTAAGATTGCTTGTTTTTTAACCTAATGCTGAATTGCTTTTGAGCTAAAAAAAATTTATTAAAATTTATTATTTTTAACTTACTGTTTTTGAGGACAATTCTTTTATCATTTTCTCACAAAAAACAGCCCTCTTCGAAATTCACGATTTAATTATTTTCAAAAGTTGTTAATAAAATTCTTCGTAAAAATTAAATTTTAAAAAACATTCAATTATTGAAGAAATTAATTATTTTTGAATTTAAAAATGAAGTTAATGTTCTTTTTGAATAATTTTACAACTAAAAAAATTATATAAATGTATTCGAACATTTTTCTCAGTATCTAATTATTATTTTAAAGTAAATCAGAATATTCTTTAGGGTCAGGGAAAAAGTCAAAATTCTGTCATGAAACCTGGGAAAAACAAAGTTTAATTTTTTGTGGCAACCATGTAATAAAATGATCAGACTCCTTTGAAAATGCAGAGGGCAATTTTAGATAACATAGAGAATTTTTAACATACTGGAAATTAACTTGTAGAGATTTGTAAGGCTGAATTTGTGTTTCTCCTTGTTTTTTCCTGATAAACAATACTCCTTTCCCAGATTGAAAGTCATTACATTCTCCATCATTGCTGACACTGTTAAACTGGGTGTATTATATATTCCTACATTCTTCAGCGCACTGTACTGTAAAAAATATCAAAATTTAATAACTATAGTGTGAGTCAATATTAAGTATTGTTTGTGTTAATATGTGGACATTCACATGAAAAAAGTCTTATTTAATTTTGGCACTATTGGACTTATCTGTATGGGTGAATTGCTTGCAAAATTTAGAAAATTTTGAGTGGTCATAGAACTTGTTTGGTAAAAAAATTCAATAAATTACATAATTTCAAAGTTTGTAATTCCAAAATCCTCATTTCGAGAAAAACTGAATTAAAGATTGTGATACCAAATAATTGTGATATCTCTGGTTCTTCTGGTAAGTTATTCAAATAATAATTGTTTTCAGTCCTTAAAAATAAAAAATCAATAGGTTTTATATCCCCCCTCCCCCCTTCTCTATGGAAAATACGGAATATTTAAAAAAAATCGACAAAATGGACCCTTTTCTTCTTTGTAAAGCACCAATGAAATCAAACACTTTAATTAACAATAAATTAATGAAGACCGCATGATTTGACTTGTAAAAATATGTAGATTGATAATAAAAAATAAAAAAATTAAAGTTTTTCTCAAAAATTACTTAATTGCGATTATCTCGAAAACTAAAACCGATAAAATGGGCCCTTTTCATGTGGACGTTCACATATAAAAACCACCAATAAAATAATTATTATAGCGTTGTTGGTTGGTTGGTTCTAAAAAAACTTATAACAAATTAAAATATACTTACAACTATTTTGTACAATTCGGAGTCTAGTACAAGTTTAGGGTCAGTTCTGTCAAAATCCTCTTTACTTTTTAGAGGAAACATTTTTAACTCTTCCCCCTTATGCATAAATGAATAAGTCACATCGTTTACAATAGTATTGCTACCATTTGATTTTGCCATTCGACCAAGTAAATCTACAGACACTTCTATTTTTGTGACTTTTGTCAACATAACTTTCTGATATGCATCTACTGAAAATAATATAGTTGATTTAACCAAATAATATATTTTTAATAATGAACGATTAACATATTAAGCAAATCGCAACAACGAATGTTCAATCATGAAAAAAATACTTAAGCAATATATGATTATTACCGGTCTTGAATAACATTTAAATTTAAAAAATACTAATAAATAATTTTTGGAAAAATATGACTTCTATAATTTCAAAAAATAGGGTAACTGCTCCAGTCTCTTTGAAAAAAAAAATATATATATACATTTATTATTGAATTATACATAAGTATATTTTCTTGTAGTTGTTTATTACTTAAAATTATAATAAATTATTCTTGTTAAATCAAAAAATAAAAAAAAATTAATTTGCTTGTTTGAAACATAAGAAGTTTAAAGATTATGTATGGGTGCCAACGACTGGAAATTGGTGTCATTATATCATTATTAGATAATTTAAAAGTTTCAGTTTAATTTTATTCAAAATTTATCATTTTATCGTATTCTGCATTAAATTCTGAATACATATTTTACTATAAGTATTATATAATATTAGTTTTTATCTATTAAAATAATTCCTAAAGTCAAAATTTGGTTTTAAGGGTGCCAACGACTGGAGCAGTTACCCTATTAAGAATTCAGGGTTGCCACAAATATTTAATTTTATTTTTCCCTGACTTTTCCCTAATTTCCAGACAAAATTCTCACTTTTTCCCTGACCCTAAAAAATATTCTGATTCACTCTAAAAACTATTAAAAACTCAAAAAAATGTTCTATAACATTTATTTATGAATTTCATTAATTGTAAAATTATTCAAAAACATCAATAATTTCTTTTTTAAATAAATATAATTAAATCATTATTATTTTTCCGTAGGAATTAAAATTCTTCAATACATTCAAATTCAAACCTTTTTAAAATTCAACAATTTATAAGAATATTATTACAAAACATAAAGAAGGTGATTACTCCAAGTCTTCGACTCGGAGTGATCGCCTTCTTTATATTTTGTTATAATTTAAATTACCATGAAATTTTTCAAAAAGAATTTTATTATTTATCAAAATCCTAATAAAATCCTTCGCAAGAATTCAATTATTTTCAAAAAGTAGTAAATTTTCTCAACAAAAAAATTCTCATAAAGAATTTTATCAACAAATTTTTAAATAATTCAATTATTTTGACAAATTTTAATGAAATTTTTAAGAATAATTATATTTATCGAAGAATTTAATCAGAATATTGTATCAAAAATTAATTAAAATCCTGCGATGAGTTTCATTATTTATAAAAATAATTGAATTCATGCGACGAATTTTATAAAACTCTTTTTAATTAATTGAATTTCTGTGACGAATTTTATTATTTATGGAAATAATTGAATTATTTCAAAGAAATTTATTAAATATTTTATAAATTATTGAATTCCTGTGAAATTTTAACGAGAATTTTATTCAAGTTTTTAAAAATAATTGAATTTCGAAGAAGAATTGTACTATTTATAAAGATGATACTGAACTGACGTAACTTTTCAAAAATTCAATTTTTTTTTTATTATTTTTAACTAAATTTTTTTTATCAATTTAGTATTTATGAAAATTGTAAAAATGATTCATTAAATCACGTATGAGTCATAATTTTATGATAGTTTTTGTAAAATTAAGTTATTTAAAAAAAAATTATTGTCTGAAATAGAAAAAATTCAAGGTTTTGTATTAAAATTCGTGGTAATTTCATAGTTTACGAGACAAACAAAAAAAATATCAAATTTCAGAGTTTTTTCATGAATTTTTAAAATTCAATTTTTCCAGTACATTTGCTAAAAATCCCTGACTTTTCCCTGAATTCCCTGACCTGTGGCAACCCTGGACTCAATTACTATAAAAATGACAAGAAATATAAAAATACTTATAATTTATTTGCAAATGACTTCGCAAATTTTTTTTGTTAAATTATTTTCAATATAATTTTACGAAATTTTAGTTTCATAAAAAATGCATAATCATTTATCTAAAAAAATTAAATCATATTTAGGAAAGTAATTATCCTATGATCTATATTTAATTTAATAGTTATTATATACTTACAGTCAGCAAGATTAAGAACTGCATTTGAATGCGGTTTTGCATTGACTGATTTCCTCCATTATTAGACGGCATACCATTGTCACCAGCTGAATCTTGCAATAAATTTGAATCTTGTGGTTCCTCTTTATCTAAGGAGTTTGAGTTTACCTCTTCAGGATTAGAGACTGTCAAATAAAAAATGAAATATTTTCAATTAAAACTCTAACAATTTAATTGTATTTAACGATAAATCTTTTACAATTAAAATATTGGTACAAAATTTTGTTAAAAATGTCTGATTTCAAATTTAAATTTGATGATTTTTTTTATCAAATTTTATAGAATTCAATTAGTTTCAAAATTTTCAATTAAAATTCTTTAAATTTTTATTTTTAATTATTTTAAACATTTTCAATTAAAAATTTCAAAAATTGAATTTTGTTTGAAAAATTATTCAAACATAGTTTTTAAAATTTCACTTTAGTTACAAGTCACTTTACAAAAATTAAAATAAGTTAGATTTTATATAAAAAAAAGTTATTTTCTTACAAAATATATATAAGAAAACTTGAAAAATTATACTTTTTTGAAAAAATAATTGGAAAAAATCAAAACAGTCATTCTGAGAATGTTTCATTAAAAATAAACAAAATTTTTTGTTCCTTTGTAAGGCCTAAAATAATTGTAAAAAACATATCTTTTAATTTCAAAAACTTCTGACCTTTAAAATGATTTATATAGTTAATATTTAAAATGGTATTTTACTTGGAGCTGTTAAGGCTTCCTCTATCTTCGCAGATGCCGAAGATGTATCCAAATCAATTTTTTCAACCGGTATAGTGGGATGAAATGTTAATTTAAATTTCTTGTTTCCCTCTGAAGAAGTTAAGGCCACAAATTTTTCTTTCTTTACAGCTTTTGAAGCTTCATATTCGGTGTCCGTATCACTGTTAGATGGATTTTTAATCGCACGTTGATGTCTTGATTTTTTCATTTTTTCACGATTTCTCTCGTCGTCTGTCTCGACATCGCTTAGGTTTATATAATACTCCACATTCTTTTCTGCCTCTTCTAACGTTTCTAAAAATTATTTTTTAACAATATTACTAGGGTTACAATTAAAGAAAAAGCGTATGTTCAGTTAAAAAATTTTAATTTACATTTATTTTTATTAAAAAAAATGAAAGGGAAAATTAAATAAATTAATTATTTTTCTAATTACATTTACCTACTTGTTAATAAAATTTTAATTTCTCTCCTTTTTCTAAATTGAACTGTAAAAAATTTTGATGAGGGTTTTTTGAATCAATTTATTAATTTAATTTAATAAAATTAAAGTTTCCTTGATTTTTAAAAAGTTTTAACGTACAAAAATTTCTAAACGAAAACATTTAAATTTTGAATAAAATAATCTGAAAATATTTTTAAAATTACTTTTTAAATACGTGTATTGAATGAACTTCTAAAATATTGTTGAATTGAATAATAAGTTAAAAAATATCCAAGAGAGAAAAATCTAACAATTATTTTATAATGCACTTTAAATACAGCTTGCCTCGAATCAGGGGAACTCTGTGCGCCCCAGAAAAGTGTCTAGGAGGTAGGAGAACACAGGGTTGAGTCGCGCAACATGACTGGAAAATGTGCTGCAACACGCTCTCTTTTTTCTCAGTGTATGCATTTTTTATAATATAAAAACCAGATTAAACCTTACTTTGTTGTATATTAAAAGAAGATAGATTTTCTTAAATGAACTTCATAAAACGAAACATTCTTACAATTGGAAAATTGTTTCTATTATATATTAAAATTACGTTGGTGAAGTTCACAACGTTTATAATCAACGATTTCATAAGAAAAATATTTTTTCAAGCAAATTTTTATTAATTTTTGTAGGTATAGAAAATATTTTGGTTAGTTTTTTGAATAATGATTTACAAAATAAATATTTATGAACAAAAAATTTTATTCTTTTTCGTAGGAAAATAATTTTTTTTTCAATCGTTGATCATAAACGTTGCGAACTTCACCGACGTTTAAAATTACTAACTTTATATATCTAAATTAAGATTATAATTTTTTAAAGCCATACATACCAAAGTAGCGATATGTTTTTTTGACAGGCCACATTTCACCTTCGTTTGTCCAATTTATATCTGGGATGGGATTATTTTTCAATATATCCTGAAGAAATTTCTTATTTTTTGTTGAGGGGAAGAAGCTTCTTGTCACATCTCCATTCGCGTCAAGTTCAGCCCAGTCAGTGCGAATTATTTCTACAGTATTATCATTAAATAATACGATAGCAAATTGATAATTTACTGCATCGACCGCCATGGTATATACACAAAAAATAACACTGAAATATTAACGAGAACACAAGAAATGAACAGTATCACAATGGAATGTGATGGAATGCTGCTTTTGCAAATGGCCAAACGCTGCTTTCATGCGATCATGCCTTTCATGTACTTGACATTCTGCGCAACTCTCTTGCGCATACTTTAAATTTTATTATTTTCTTGGAATTTTGATATAGTTCTATTAAGCTTAAATAATAAATTCTAATAATTACATTTTAATGCATGGAAAGTATATTTCTGAAATATATGCTGGTTTATCCACTTTTCTCTTAAAAAAATTAAAAAATCAAGAAAAAACATTGTTATTTATATAGCGGAAATGATGTTATATTCATTTTGAATCAAATGACGTCGTTTCCCTTTTGTGAATAATAACGCTGTTTCAAATAATTTTTTAACTCTTTTTACATAGGCATTAATAAATGTTAAATGTTTAGAATACATTCTATTTATCAAAAAATAATTATTAATATTTAAAATAAGTACAGCAAACATTTTAAATATAGGTTTGTGTTTATGCATGTTCTTGGAGACGTTATTGAAGGTTAGGCCGCCATAGGCGTGAGTTGCGCAGTAGGAATAAAACGTCAAGTTTAGTTGAGTCTGATTTCTTATATGCACTGTGACTGCCTCGTGTTCTCGCGCTTCGCTAATTTGCCTTGTAATTTGTTTTGTTTATCTTTGTGCTTTTCTTTATTTTCTTGTAATGTTTATGTTCTATTTTTAATTTGGTTTGGTTTTATATTGTTTAAATTGACGAACAGAATCAAAAGTATTTGTGATAGCAGAGAAACTAGTTTATGAGTTGTAAGTGAAAATTTGTATAGTTAACCTCAAAATCATAACGCACTTTTTGATGATCTCAATGCTAATATAAACTTTATATTTTATCATTGCAAACCAATTTTATTTTAATTGTTTACGACCATATAACAATACTTCAATATGTAAATTATCCAAAAGTGTAAGAAAAGAATAGTATTGGAGTAGAGTAGACGTTTTCCGACTTTTTTTCAAAAATGCTAAATACTTTTCTCAATTTATTAAAAAAAAAAAATGTATATGCAGACCTTCAGAAATCCTATAATTTTTATAAGAATTTTGATATTAATATCCGAAAATCGATTCTGTCTAAACTCATTATTAATTTTTGTTATATATTATAATTCTTTTAAAAAGTATTTTAATCAAATTCTTTGAAAATTTAAACATTCTTCTTTTTCATGTTTATTTTATTTGGTTTTATTATTTTTATTTTCTTTTCTTTACTTAATTTCTCATAAAAGAAAATGTTTTCCCTAAAATCTAAAGTTACTAATACATACTAATACTTTCAATTTTTTTTTTTTCGAATTTTTGTTTTGAACTAGATTTCTTTTCTATATTTCTTGTAATCTAAATCGGCCAAAATAATTTTTATGGCCTTACAATTAATCGGAGAGTTGATATATAGCATTAATTGTGTAAAATGTAAGCAAATAATTAATTTTAAGTTCATGTTATATTCTTACCAAAAGTTTGTTTTCGAAAGAAGTAATTCATTTAGTTAGTTCAAGTAATAATTATTATAAATTTTGTTACTTTCTAAAAGTAACAAAAATCTTTTTGTAAATGATAATTCATAAAAAGTAGAGAAATAATAAATTTATTGTAATTACCGACACTGTTTTTAAGTTATGTCTATTTTAATTGCAGGGACTAATAATTTATAAAGATTAATTTTAACACAATAAAAATTATAATATTTAATTTTGCAAAAAACACTAAAGCATGTAATTTTAACTTCATACTTTCATATTCCTTTTTCAATTTGCATTGATACGATTTAACTTAATAATTTAGTCTTTGTTACATAATGGTTTCCAATGTACTTTCCACTCCTGAATACGATCCCTGATCTCAAATATAACCTAGCGTGACATACTTCTCAAGAAAGTTGGGTAAAGAAAGAAAAACGTGTTTTGGGGGTTTTCAAATTTTCCTTCTTTTTAAATACAGAAATCCAAAGTAAAATAAACAAATTTGAAATGTGTGAGTAAATACTAAAACGTGATGTTAAAAAATTTTAATTTGTGTTATTTACTCTCTGAACTAAATTTACCAAATTTATCTAATTCCCGTCGATATGATACCACTAATTTAAAAAAAACGTATGTGCGCCAAATTTTTTTTCTTGAGTTTTTCAAAATCCCCTTTTTTAACCTATTTTTACGTGAAATGCCACTGTTGTTTCTAGTACATATAAATATATTTCTCTTTATGACCAACAAGAACTATGCATTTGATAAAATTTCACTAAACAAATTTTGACCTTTCAGAGCCGAAAATTTTGTTAATTGCAGGGCTCGGATTGGGCGACTTTTTCGACTTTTTTCGACTTTTTTGTGAAAAAATGCGACTAATCGACTTTTTTGAGATTCATTTTAGGAAAATACGAATGAAATTTAAATTTTTTTTTTAAATTTAAAGGAAAAAGTTTGAGTCAAAAAAATATTCTGTTACATTTATTTACAAATTTTTTGAAAACATCAGTAACTTCTTTTTTGAATAAATATTTAATTATTATTTTTCCATAGAAATTAAAATTCTTCAAAAGATTCAAACTCAAACCTTTTTGAAATTAAACAACTTATAAAAAAATTGTTATAAAACATGAAGAAATCGATTACTCCGAGTCTTCGACTCGGAACAATCGATGTCTTCATGTTTTATAATAATTAAAGATGACCGAGTGATAAAATCATTAATTTAAATTCTAAGACTTTATAAAAAAAAATTTTTTTAATTATTTTTTATGCAAATAGTTGAATTATTGGGAAGAAATTTATAAAATATTAGTAAGTACCTAATTGAATTTTGCAGAAGAATGTTGATATTTACAAAAATAATTGAAATTTTTAAGAGAATAAAAAAAAATTTTGAAAATAATTGAATTTCTGTCAAGAATTTTCTTACTTTTGAAGATAATTGAATTTTGCAAAAAATTGTATCAGAACTTTTTAAAATAATTAAATTTCCAGGATGAATTTTATTATTTTATGAAGATAATAAAAATTTTAACGAGGAATTTAAAAAAAATTTTGAAAATAATTGAATTTCTAGGATGAATTTTATTATTTATAAAGATAATTGAAAATTTGACAAGAATTATATTAAAATTCTTTACAAATAATTGAATTTCAGAGAAGAATTTTATTATTTTTGAAGATAATTGAATTTTGCAAAGAATTTTATCAGAACTTTTAAAAACAATTAAATTTTTATGATGAATTTTATTATTTATAAAATGTTTTGAATATAATTGAATTGGTGTGAAGAATTTTATTACTTTGAAAATAAATGAATTTCAGAGAAGAATTTTATTATTTATGAAGATAATTGAAATTTCGACAAGAATTTTATTAAAATTTTTGTTAAATAATTGAATTTCGGAGAAGAATTTTATTATTTATAAAAATAATTGACATTTTAAAGAGAATTTTTAAAAAATGTTAAAAATACCTAATTAAAATTTTGCTATGAATTTTATTAAATTTTATTCCTGATTGTTTGATATTAATGTATCTGTTGTTGAGAAATGTGATTTTTTTTACAATTTTGACAATTTAGTGTTTTTTTTGTCGTTTTTTCTAAAATTTCATGCGACTTTTTTCCAACTTTTTTGGAAATTTTATGTGACTTTTCTTGACTTTTGTTGTAAATTTATGCGACTAAAGCGACTTCTTTTAGTCTTAAAGACGATCCGATCCCTGTAATTGTTATTTTAAAAATAAAAACGTTAGTGATATATCAATATAAATGTAGTTACTTCAAGAGAAACTATCAAATATTTCTTTGGTCCTAAAAATATTTACAATTTATTTATAAAGAACAGACCATTTTATAAAAAAATTAATTTTTAAAATTTATATATAAATTATTTAAAATAAATAAATTTTAAGAAACTCTCGGAAAAAATTAATTTAGCAGATTTTACCAAACTTTAACGGAGTAGCGGATACAGCTTATTACGAAACCGAGTTTTGTAAAGTGTAAAGAATATTTCAGGATAAACTTTAGAAATATTCAGTATAAACTACGAAATTTCTATACTTGATCCTGAAATATTCCTTACACTTTACGAAACTCAGTATTGTAATAAGCTGTATCCGTACTGTGTGACCGTTTTGTAATATCTGGTAAATTTATTTTTTCCTTGTATTTACACTATAATTCTGTAAAATTTTCAATGTATAAGAATTTCAGAAAATAATTGAATATATTAAAAATTATTATGTTTTAAATAAATTTTAGTAACCATGGGGAAAATCATGAAAAAACAACCACCGAAAAAATATGGCATTTCTTCACGTCGCTTTCGAAAAATAGTTCAAGAACGCTTGTTAAACGATTGCAATCTCGTGCAATCTCAGCATAGTTCATCGACTCCACTCGAAACAAGTATTGGAGAAGTCTCAAATATTTCATCACTTTTACCTAATGTCGAATTACCTACTTTTATTGACAGTGAACCACCATCAAAATTATGCAATGTTAATATAGACTTGAATTTGTGTTCATCATCATTTTCAGACAATAATGAAATTTCTAACGCACCATGTATTGAAAACGAGCCTTGTGAAATGGAATCCAATGTTAGTGACAAGTTTGTTTTTAGATTTCGACTCTGACAATAATTACAATTTTGATAGTGATTCGGAAATCACATGTAATGAAGACACCAGGAAGACCGATAGTGATCTTGGCGAAGATGACTTGGAATTATCAGATTTTTTATATCGGGATGAAACACCTTAAAGGAAAATACGTTCTCAGCCAAGCTCCGAGAATGGGCATTAAAGTTCCACATAACTTTAATTGCCCTTTCAGCTTTATTACTCTTGCTAAGAGTATTGATTCCAGTTTACCAGTAGATGCAAGGACGTTGTTAGGAACCCTCAGAAAAACAGAATGTGCTGAAATGAGTGATGGTGTGTATCACCACTTTGGTTTGGAAAGAGCAGTTGAGAACATACTTATTGAAAGAAGAAATAAAAGGTGTGCAAGATCAAAAAGTAAAATTAATGATAAATGTAGATGGTGTTCCAATTTCGAATAGTGGGAAAAAATACTTTCTGGCTTATATTGTGCTCCGAAGTAAATTCTGAGATCGTGTATCCTGTCGGTGCTTTCTACGGGACGAAGAAACCAATAGATGCAAACGAATTTCTTAATTCTTTTGTTCAAGAAGCAATCAACGTTTGTGAAAAGGCGTGAAGAATCATAATGTTACTATAGAAGCTATAATTTGCGACGGCCCCTGCAAAATCATTTATTTTGTATTTAAAAGGACACACTGGATACGACTGTTTGTCCCAAGTGTCTAATAACAGGTGTATGCCATAGACCGCCACCATCAACAAGAGGAAAGAAGAAGAAGGGAAAAGTTTGTTTTCCTGGTATAGGACCATTTGCGCTAAAAACGGACCAGGATTTTAAACGCAATAAATATAATAGCTTTGAAACAGATGTTGAAATTGTTCTTACAAAGCTTCCTGGATTTGGCTGTATCAGTTGCATTCCTTTGGACTATATGCACTTAGTTTTGCTTGGAGTCACGAAAAAAACTAATTTCTTCTGTGGGTTCTCCGTAAATCAAAAGTAAAAATATCTTCCGATGCCTTAAACACATATCAAATCGACTACTTCTGTTGCGAAATACAATTCCCGTTGAGTTTAATAGAAGGCCAAGGGACTTTATGGGAATATAAATTCTGGAAAGCAACAGAATTTCGCACATTTTTGTTGTATGCAGGTGTCATTGTATTGCAAAACGTTGAAGGATTTTCTAGCGAGCTTTATTCTCATTTTCTCTTACTGCATACAGCAATTTCTATCTTATCAAGTGACAGACATATTTGCGACCCTAGAAATATTGATGTAGCACACGAAATGTTACAATTGTTTGTAACAGACTTCGATTCTCTTTATGGAAAAGAATTCATTTCCTACAATGTGCACAACTTGTTGCAACTTTGTGCAGATGTTAAACGATTTGGAGCTCTAGGAAATTTCAGCGCCTTTAAATTTGAAAATTATATGGGGACTGTGAAAAGGATGATCAGAAAGGGAGATAAACCGTTACAGCAACTTGCTAGAAGGTATGCAGAGGTCGAAAAACATTCAAAAACTGAAGAATTATGCAACTGAAGAATTTATTCTAGATCATGCTCACAATAGAGGACCATTAACTCAAGACTGCCTAACAAATATTCCTAAACAATACAAAATTTAAAAACCAAAGGATTTTCAATAAATTGTGATGATATTAGGAATAATTGTGTTATGCTAAAGGATGGAACATTCTTAATAGTAGAAAACATTTTGCAATTGGGTGGTCAGGACATTAAGATAGTTGGACATAGGCTTTGTTTCAAAGGCAGCCTATATGAAGATCCTGATTCCAGGTTAATAAATATTTACATGGCCAATAATGTCAATGAAGAGGAAAAACATTGTTTACTATTAAGCGATGTTATATCAAAAGCGTGGAAAATTCCAACCTCGAAAGGAATCGCAGTAAATTCCATTATTGCACAAAGCAGAACGAAAATAGATGGTCACAATCATCACCCATTTTTTCCAGTGTTAATATTAAAAAAGAACTTCTAGGTAACGTATATTATTATAATTTTTAGATCCTTAAAAATAAATTACAAAAGAAAAAATTAAAGTATTTTTCTGTAATAAAGTAAATTAATTTAATTGAACATTGAATTATTAATAAAATATATATCGATTAAATAATAATATGAGTAATAATCTTTCAGAGGTTAAATTAAATATAATTTCCGACGAGAAAACTACTGGAAAAATTCAGAAATAAGGCATTAAAGGGTGACGAAATATTCATTAACCTTAAAGAGAGAACAAATTGTGGCCGTATCTTCTTCACATGCTGATGGGAACGAAAATGGAACGTCCGTTAATTCGAAGAGCAGAAATACAGAAAGGAAGAAAGCAATGAGGGAAACACGAAATAAAAATTTAAATTTCAGTCGACTATATCGGTAAAGGAACATTTTTTTTTGGATACATCTTCGGCATCTGCGAAGATAGAGGAAGCCTTAACAGCTCCAAGTAAAATACCATTTTAAATATTAACTATATAAATCATTTTAAAGGTCAGAAGTTTTGAAATTAAAAGATATGTTTTTTACAATTATTTTAGGCCTTACAAAGGAACAAAAATTTTGTTTATTTTTAATGAAACATTCTCAGAATGACTGTTTTTGGATTTTTTTCCATTATTTTTGTCAAAAAAGTATAATTTTTTCAATTTTCTTATATATATTTTGTAAGAAAATAACTTTTTTTTATATAAAATCTAACTTATTTTAATTTTTGTAAAGTGACTTGTAACTAAAGTGAAATTTTAAAAACTATGTTTGAATAATTTTTCAAACAAAATTCAATTTTTGAAATTTTTAATTGAAAATGTTTAAAATAATTAAAAATAAAAATTTAAAGAATTTTAATTGAAAATTTTGAAACTAATTGAATTCTATAAAATTTGATAAAAAAAAATCATCAAATTTAAATTTGAAATCAGACATTTTTAACAAAATTTTGTACCAATATTTTAATTGTAAAAGATTTATCGTTAAATACAATTAAATTGTTAGAGTTTTAATTGAAAATATTTCATTTTTTATTTGACAGTCTCTAATCCTGAAGAGGTAAACTCAAACTCCTAGATAAAGAGGAACCACAAGATTCAAATTTATTGCAAGATTCAGCTGGTGACAATGGTATGCCGTCTAATAATGGAGGAAATCAGTCAAATGCAAAACCGCATTCAAATGCAGTTCTTAATCTTGCTGACTGTAAGTATATAATAACTATTAAATTAAATAGATCATAGGATAATTACTTTCCTAAATATGATTTAATTTTTTAGATAAATGATTATGCATTTTTTATGAAACTAAAATTTCGGTAATTATATTGAAAATAATTTAACAAAAAAAATTTGCGAAGTCATTTGCAAATAAATTATAAGTATTTTTATATTTCTTGTCATTTTTATAGTAATTGAGTCCAGGGTTGCCACAGGTCAGGGAATTCAGGGAAAAGTCAGGGATTTTTAGCAAATGTACTGGAAAAATTGAATTTTAAAAATTCATGAAAAAACTCTGAAATTTGATATTTTTTTTGTTTGTCTCGTAAACTATGAATTACCACGAATTTTAATACAAAACCTTGAATTTTTTCTATTTCAGACAATAATTTTTTTTTTAATAACTTAATTTTACAAAAACTATCATAAAATTATGACTCATACGTGATTTAATGAATCATTTTTACAATTTTCAAAATACTAAATTGATAAAAAAAATTTAGTTAAAATAATAAAAAAAAAATTGAATTTTTGAAAAGTTACGTCAGTTCAGTATCATCTTCTTAAATAGTACAATTCTTCTTCGAAATTCAATTATTTTTAAAAACTTGAATAAAATTCTCGTTAAAAATTCACAGGAATTCAATAATTTATAAAATATTTAATAAATTTCTTTGAAATAATTCATTATTTCCATAAATAATAAAATTCGTCACAGAAATTCAATTAATTAAAAAGAGTTTTATAAAATTCGTCGCATGAATTCATTATTTTTATAAATAATGAAACTCATCGCAGGATTTTAATTAATTTTTGATACAATATTCTGATTAAATTCTTCGATAAATATAATTATTCTTAAATTTCATTAAAATTTGTCAAAATAATTGAATTATTTAAAAATTTGTTGATAAAATTCTTTATGAGAATTTTTTTTGTTGAGAAAATTTACTACTTTTTGAAAATAATTGAATTCTTGCGAAGGATTTTATTAGATTTTGATAAATAATAAAATTTCTTTTTGAAAATTTCATGGTAATTTAAATTATAACAAAATATAAAGAAGGCGATCACTCCGAGTCGAAGACTTGGAGTAATCACCTTCTTTATGTTTTGTAATAATATTCTTATAAATTGTTGAATGGTT